TTCCCACCTCCTGCAAAGGTGACCCAAGCCTAATTCTTTTCTCCCCACGCCTCCTGCTTCTCCTCATTACTTGCCACATAGCCCCCTTCCCAGGAAGGAAGCACACCCAGAATGTGGCCACACCAGATTCCCATGTTATAACCTCCTCCAAGGCACTGTCCCTCACCACTACTCCTACCACCACCAGCAGCACCAGCCTGACACTTAGTGGAAATGTGTGAAGCCAGACTTACATTTCAGGGCCTGAAGCTACACATGTACAGGGGGAATTTATCCATTCATTCAGTGCCAAGGGATGTCTGACTGCCAGCTTAGGCCCAATTCCCCGGTGAGCGGGCCTAATCCAGTAGGTGGTCATCCCCCGAGGGTTCCAAAACTGCGAGAGGGCACAGGCTGGGCTGAGGGACGCCCCCCTCCCCCGGAATGCACAAATTTTTGTGCACTGGGCCTCTAGTAGTTTTATAAACATTCTTTACAAGAATGGGAAGACTAGCTGGCTTATTTCTTCCCTGACTCACTTCTTCTACCTCTGTGACTTTCTAAATAAACTTTTGCTTATATTTGAGTCTTCACTCTGAATTCTTTCTTAGCCAGGACTCAAGTACTGAGGTTTTGTGAGGAGGTAGAGAGGGGTGATTGGGGAGAAGGAATGGGAAGATCAGAACCTATTTTACAAACCAGCTTTTTTCACCTAGCCACTGACCCTATACTCAACTTCGGGGTGAACTCAGTAAACACTGGCTGAATGAGTACACATCCATAAGAAAGTGACTCTGCTTTTAAAGACATGTTAAGGAAAATTTGAAATATTCCTACCCTTTGTCCAGTTAATTCCACTTCTAGAAAATTTGTCCTAAGACAATAATTTGATGAGCATGTTAAAAATTATGTCTGAGCCCTAACCGGTTTGGCTCAGTGGATAGAGTGTCGGCCTGCAGACTGAAGGGCCCCAGGTTCGATTCTGGTCAAGGGCATGTACCTTGGTTGTGGGCACATCCCCAGTAGGGGGTGTGCAGGAGGCAGCTGATCGATGTTTCTCTCTCATCGATGTTTCTAACTCTCTATCCCTCTACCTTCCTCTCTGTAAAAAATCAATAAAATATATATTTTAAAAAAAAGTTATGTCTGAGGCCTTGGCCAGGTAGCTTAGTTGGTTACAGCATCATCCTGGTATGCCAAGATTGCAGGTTCGATCCACCATCAGGACACATAAAAGAAGCAACCAATTAATGCATAAATAAAAGTGGAATATCACAGCGATGTTTCTCTCTCTCTCTCTCTAAAAATTAATCAATACATTTTTTTAAAAGAGTTATGTCTAAGCCTATTCACTATAACATTGTTTAAAGTATCAAAATTTGAAACAGCCTGAATGTCCAACAATAGAGAATTGGTTAAATGCATATACCAGAACACTGCATAGCCAATTAAAAGATGATGTACTGACATGGAATATGCTAAGTGAATTGCTACATGAATAAAATAGTTTCAAAAAAGAACATATATGGACCCATTTAAAAAATTTTTAAATTACCACTTACACCAGTATTATTTTATATTGGTTTCAGGTGTATAGCATAGTCGTTAACTATCATATTCTTTACAAAGTGCTTCCCCCAGTATTTCTAGTATCCACCTAACATCATACATAGTTATTACAATACTGGAGGCCCGATGCACAGAATTCGTGTAAGGGGCTTGGCCCCCGCTGCCGCAGCTTCGTCTGGAAAGTCTAATTAGCATATTATGCTTTTATTATTATAGACTAGAGGCTCCGTGCACA